GGTCTTCCTGAATCTGACTTGGTTTACTAACCTTCTCCTATTCTCCTGAGATCCCCAGATTTGACTAAGCAGTGAAGTTCTAATTTCTTCTGAGTTTAAACTCACTTTTTATTCTTTTTAACTATTGCTACAAAGTACTTCAACAATGAGATTCTTCAAAGCAATAGTTTTCATTTTTATCTTGTGATTTTGTACATTGAAAACCCTGTCAGAGTTTAGTGGTGATTCTCAGACATTGCCTGAGATCACTTGTGAGCTTTCAGCTAGTAGATGGGCTGTCTAGAGTGTCCAAGATGGCCTCCTTTGCACTCATGCTTTTGCAAGCTGGGCTGGAAGGCAGAGATCAGCTAGAACCAGTGACCAGTGTACCTGCTCATGCCCTCTCTGGAAAATGGTTCTTAGTGCATTTGAACTTCTAGAATGGAGATGCATAGCTCCTAGAGATAATGTTGCCAAAAGATATGAAGCAAAAGTTGACTGTGTCTCTCATCCCAGGCCCTGAACCTACACAACATAATTTCTGATGTTTTCTATAGGCCAACCAAGATTCAAGAGAAGGGACACAGATCCCAATTCTTAATGGGAGAAGTATCACAATTTTTGTGACTATATTTAATATGACTTACTTCCTATGTCTGTTTCCCTCACATTTTGTCTTTGTGTTTCAACCCTAAGCCTAACATGTGAACGATTACATGCTTTCCTAGGAGTAATGATTATAAACCAATACAAAAAAAGTAAATTTTCCAGATACGGACTTTGTTGCCTGACTTTGAATCCTGCTTCCACTGTGAAATCTTGAGCATCTTACTTGAGCCTCACTTTCCTCTTCTGTAAAAATGAAAATTATAATGCTTATATTATGTAGACATTGCAAATGTCAAGTGGAATAAAGTATATAAAATACTAAGCATAATGTCTTATATTAGTAGTAGTTTTGTAAAATAGAATAGTGGCTATGATGAATAGCTATCACTATCACTATCACTATTCAGGGTGTGAACCTGAATTAACCAATTAATATCACTAGAACTCCTCTTCTATATATAGCTTTGTATTTTGTATAAGTTGGATTAATTGATTTTTGCTATACTTATGATTTATTATAGTGAAAGGATACAGATCAAAATCAGCAAAGGGAAAAGACACATGGAGAGAAGTTTAAGAGAAACAGGCACAAGCTTCCAGGTATATCTTCTCAGTGGAGTAACATAGGGAACACTATTAAGATAAATCCATCTGTTCATGCTGGCACAGCAGGGCCCAAGGCCTCAGGCTTACACAAACATTCTTATCAGGCAGAGTATTCCAAAGGTTCAGAAGTTATCTCCTTGGAGTGTGAAGAGAGATCTTTCTTTGGAATGTACAGGTTTTGAATAACCCATGCTTGCTGAATTTACCCTTTTCTTGCCACATATTAACATAAAATGTTCTCAAATTCCTGGTCTCAAACAGTCTTCTGCGTAGCTGGGATTATAGGCGGGAGCCACCATGCCTGGCTAAAATGTTGATAACAGGAAAAACTGAGTTTAGGGCATGGTAACTCTCCATTGTTCAAAATTTTTCTGTAAATCTAAAATTTTTCTTAAAATAAAATATATTAAAAATCAAAATTCAATTGGAGCAATAGTTTAAATAAGTTGATAAATATTCAGGCTTAAGTATTTTAAAATAGTTCTTCAACTTCATTTGTTTAATTGAAGGAGATTGTATCATAAGCGATATTGTTGCTTATCTGGCCCAATATATCTTTAAATTCCTATTGTTTTTGTATTTAAAATAAGGATTGCGTTTTTTCTCAGCAACACTAGCTTGTATTATTCATAATAGTCAAAAAGTAGAAAGACATCCAAATGCCCATATCAACTGACGAATGGATAGATAAAATGGAATGCTATTTGTCCATATGAAAGAATAAAACACATGGATTTCCATTGATCCATGTATCAGCAGAAGTGATCTACATACTGGAAAAATGTAATTCTACAACATGGATAAAACTTGAAAACATTGTGCTAAGTGAAAACTGCCAGTCACATAGACTCATATATTGAATGGCTTATACAAAATGTTCAGAATAGCTAAATCCAGAGATGGAAAGTAGACTAGCAGTCTCCAGAGGAAATGGAAGTGACTAAAAATGAATATGAGTTTTCTCTTTGAGGTGATAAAAATGTCCTGAAAATAGTGGTGATGGTTGCATAGACTTGTATATATTTAAAAACCTAAGTTGAATACCTTTATAAGGGTAAATTTTCTGGTATGTGTATTATATTTTTATTTTTATTTATTTATTACTTATTTTGGAGACAGGGTGTCACTCTATCTCCTGGATTGGAGTGCAGTGGAAAAATCATGACTCACCAAAACCTCAAACTCCATGGCTCAAGTGATCCTCTCAGTTCGGCCTCCCAAGAAGCTGAGACTACTGACGTGTGCCACCACATCTGCCCAAGAGTTTTTTTTTAATTTTTTTTTTGGTAGAGATAGGATCTTGCTGTGATGCCCAGGTTGTTCTTGAACTCTTGGCCTCAAGTGGTCTTCTTACCTTGGCTTCCAAAAGTGCTGGGATTACAAGCATGAGCCACTATGCTCAGCCATATTTCAACTTTTAAAAAATGAGTTTTCTCCCAAATGATCAGGTGAAGTTTCACTAACAATATGCTCTGTTTTTTATACACTATATGGGAAGGCATATCCATTAATCTTAAATAAATGTAATTCTAAGGTATCTGAATAGCCCCTTTATCCTTGTTAGCCTCCTTTCTTTCGTATTCAAGTGTGCATATGTATAAAATTCTCTTTACCTTTTTAGAATATCATAAAGATTAAGAAGTTAAAAATCTTCCGCCTCTCAAATATTCTAGTATTGTAGCAACAATGGCATTCTTATTATGATGATCACAACTTATTAGGTCTTCTTATATGTGGATAAAGCCCTGCATAATCGAGTACTATAGACTAGAAACAGAATCCAACTGCTGGATTTCTACACCTCTCTGGTTTACAATTTGATAAATTATTGCTACTATTAGTCAAGCAATAAATCTTGATCTAATTGAAAACAACAGATTTGAGGGGTTTTTTTTTTCATGATTATAGGATTGTGTGCAACCAGTGAAATGATTGTGGTTACTGAATGTACACATAGAAGTCCGCGTATTTTTCAATATTGAAAACTCCCTGCTTTAATGAAATTTGATAATGTGTAATTGTGTTGTGACAAATGTACTTTATTCTCCTAACAATGAGATTTGGATTTTTTCTTGAAATTAAGTACAGTTCCTGTGTAGCTTGATCAAATTATGACTTTATTTCTAATCAATCGTTTGTATCTTAATTTTTGCTGGCATCAAAAGAATCCATTTATACAAACTTGTAAAATGATTTCTGTGTATTACATATGTAAAATGGCTTTAATTGAGCATCTTGTCTTCTATTTGCAAATATATGAAAATATCAAAATGTCAAATAAAAAGAATTCTTTATCATCAGAAAAGTGTACTTATGATTCTGAATGTTTTATTAAATCCTTTTTTTGTTTTTAGTGGTAGGAATCTAATTGAAGTACTTCTGCTGAACTGCAGCTGCAGTATTCTGATCAAAACATGCTAGGAAGTAATATAATTTATTTATAAATACAACAGTATCTCTGTTTTGTGAATTTAGAATATTAGGTTGTCTCACTTGTTTAAACTTATTTGGGAGAAGATATGGAAATTAAGTATCTACATACTTAATTTCATCCACTTAACAAACCTCTGAGCTTTTGGTTTTCTGTTACAAAGACCACTTTTGTACCTAATCCTGAATTGTACGCAACTTTAAAATAAAAATTAAAAAAAGAAGTTCTATTTGTCAAAGTAGATGTTGTATAGTAAAGAAAAAGTGTTAACCTTTAACTGATTTGTAATGTTCCATACATAAACGATTTCCTAAATTACAGGCAAACTCTCATTTCTGATTTTAGTTAAGTCTATCTCAGAGGAACAAATATCAAGCTCAATAGAATGTCAAATATGACCAAGTAAAACGGTTTCCATCAAGACATGGCTTGCTAATTGAAATGGTATTACACCTGTAGAAGAAAAAAAACAGATTTGATTCACGTTAAATTTTCCTTTGAAAAAGTTATCTGTGAAAGTTCTGTTGCATTAAAATGTACTAATAGTTAATCATGTCATGATTAGTAATATACAGTTAACTAGTTAGAGGCAAGACAGATTTTACTTTCAATGTTTTATTAATGTCACCACCTCTGTGTAACTTCTATGATGTCACCATCTCTATTCATTTTTCAGTCTGAAGCTCAGCAGGAGGGCTCTTTAAAATCTAGAACACATAATGATATAAGTTTTAAAATAAGAGTAACTTTAACTTGAAAGTTAAAGCAAAATTTAGTTCTTCCCCTAGATTTTTTTGTTTATATTTTTCCTTGAAATTAGCACACTAAATATTGTGACAAAGTACAATAAGATGGAAAAAAAAAAATCCTTGTACTCCCTCCCCCTGCCCTGTTAAATATCACATTTTACTGGAAAAATGGTGTTAATAAGTTTCAATATCAATATTGCATGTGTGTGCATGGGTGGGTGCATGAACACTGTTAAGTAAACTATTATTAGTTAAGTAAACTATTGCATAGTGGTAGAGTTTTGTGTGACTTGAATCATCTCTGTACCTCAGGATGGTGATTTTACATAAAAATCCATGACAGGTGAACATGACTCAAAGAACTATTTTTCTTTTAAATAATAATCTTAAAATAAATAAAACTAAATCAATTAGAACTTTATGAGAAGTGATTTGCAAATTAAATAATCTATTTCTCTATTCTAGACTTACATAAATTTAAAATAATCTTTAAGATATTCACACTAAATGATTAGCCGTATAGTGTCTTTTGATGCAACAATGTACAGTAAAATTCTTTTTAAGTGAATGTACATCTTTTAATCTTTTAATAACCTCTTAATCTTTTTAAATAAAGTTTACAAAACTTTTGTTTTATGAGTTTTATTCTTCCTTAACAGAGAACACAAACAGCATCTGAAAGTTAACCACGAACGTCCCATTGCAAGACTGATAATAAATGTACATGGTCTCCCTTTAACTGAGGGACTTAAACTTGATCCATGGATTTGCACCACGAACTTCAAAAGATGGATTATCGCTGTAGATGTGATGGCCTAATTCTTCCAAAGGTGGTTCAGGATCAGTTGTAGCAAACTGGGCCGCATCATCAATTTCTTTCCTCACTTCAACTTCAATTTCCTTTAACTCTTCAACACAGGCGAGCTTGCTGTTTATCATTTTATCTTTGAGAAGCTTTATAGGGTCGCTCTTACTTCTTACATCCTGGATTTCTTCTCGTGTACGATAACTGATTCCAGGATCACTCATGCTGTGTCCGTGATAACGGTAGGTCTGCAGCTCCATCAGGATGGGCCCCTTTCCAGACCTGCAGTAGTCAGCTGCAAACTTGGTTGCCTCACGAACACAGAGAACATCCATTCCATCTACCCTTAGCCCAGGGATAAAGTTGCCCCTCTTGTAGTAATCAGTGCTGGCCGCTGCTCTCTCGACTGCCGTTCCCATTGCATAACGGTTATTCTCACAGATGAAAACACAAGGTAATTTCCACAAAGCTGCCATGTTGAATGCTTCGGCTATCTGTCCCTGGTTAGCGGCGCCATCCCCATATAGGGTCAGGCAGATCTCACTGTTTCCCTTATATTTGCAGGCCAGAGCAACGCCGGCTCCCAGGGGCCCCTGCGCACCCACGATGCCGTTGCCCCCGTAGAAATTCTTGGCATACATGTGCATGGACCCCCCTTTTCCCTTGGCACAACCTCCTCTCCGCCCCGTCAGCTCAGCGAGAATGGATCGGGCAGTAAGTCCTCGAGTGTAGCATATGCCATGAGCCCTGTAGGACGTGATGACATGATCCGAGGGATTTATGCCTGCCTCGAGGCCCACACAGCAGGCTTCCTGGCCATCGCACAAGTGACAGAAACCACGAATAAACTTCTGCTTATACAGCTGATCTGCCTTCAACTCCAGGCGGCGGACAGCCAGCATCATCCTGTGGTACTTGAGCCCATCCTCCCTGGTGAGCACCGCAGTGACAGGGGGACCCCCCTCCAACCGGTAAAGATCACAGTTCCTGATTTCAAATGTAGCGTCTTTTGAGTAGTTACAGGATGCCACCAGCACTCTGCGAGCTGGCTTCTGGGTGACACCCGTCAACACGCGGGAGACAAAGGCGGCCAGCATCTTCCTCATGGAGTAGAGCGGGTGGCGGACGGCGGATGGCGGCTCCTAACCACCGTCCGGAGTCTAGGCCTGTCCCCGCCGGATCCTTTCAGCGACCGAGCGCACGCGGCGGCGCCACAAGGCAGAGCGCTGCCGCGGGAACAGACGCGTAGTGCACCCAGCCTGGGCAGACTGATTGGTACGGTAGCTTCCAACTGTCAAATGAAGACTAAAGGTGGTGTTTGTTGTTGTTTGATTGTTTTTTAAATATGTGGGGTACAATTCAGATTTTGGTATACAAGCGGTCATCGTAGTGGAAGGAACTTAAATCATTCTACAAAAAACAAACAAAAAACAGGTGGTTTCTTTGCAGGAAGACTTAGCAGAACTACACCAGATCCTAATTAACACCACTGTCATTGCTAAACCGTAATAATCTGAGTCCTTTTCGCTGTTCAACTCCAATGGCTGAAACTTCCTCAGGTGTATCAAATAGAAGAACAAACTCAATCTTCGAGGGACACATGAGTCCTAAGAGCCCAATGGTGTTCCTTCCAGCCAACATTTCTTTAAAGTCTTGTTTTTGGTCTTTAAATTATGTATGGATATTTCATCCTACTCCATAATATATCATATTTATTTTAATGTAAAAATAAAGCTGTAAATTACAACCCCACCTTTTTTGGAAGAAAAGTTAGTGCTCCCAAAGAATTCGTCACATTTATTCTATGGTTTCTAGCATCTGTGTCACCCGAAGGGAGAAGAGGTAAATACACAAACCCCAACCACACAAGTCAAAGTTTATTACTGGGTTGAATAATGTCTCAACCCAGTAATAACCTTTGTCTTGTGTGGGAAAATTGGATGCAGGGTTGAGATGCAGATTGTAACAAAACTTTTATGATGTTTCACCTTTTCTTACTCTTTTTAAAATTCTGAATCTTGCCCAGTTTTATTTCTATTTTCTGACTAATTCGTTTTTTCCCCCAGTCTTCTACACTTAAAGATGTCTTCAATAGGTTTTTCTATAGACTTTCGGGTGGCTTTGTTTTTTGCTTTTATATTAATCAAATTAGATGAGGCTTAGACCAGGAAATCAAGAGGCATGTTCTAAGAATGCCTCTTTATGTAGTAACCATCGGAAAGTTTAACTTATAAAGTGACCCACCAAACTATACAGTTTGGACTGTAAGAGATCAATAGAGTCTGCTTAAGCCACTCTTAACTGTTCAATCATAAGACAGAAAAAGCCTTAAGCCAAAGGGTAAAAAGATTCCATATCATTTTTCTTTTTTGTGCTTTTACTAGGAAGGTGATTTTGTAGCCCAATAAGTCAACCTTAACCAGAGATGCTGTTCTATTTAGAATATTAAGCAATTCACCTTGATATATGCTCTGTTTTATATCAATTGCTCATTTGTAAATGGTAAATTCTTACCCAAATTTCCATACTACATATTCAAAGCAACTGTCTTCTCTATATCTAGTTGCAGGTGTTATTCTGGACTTTTCTTTTAATATTCAGGCAGGAAAGAGAAAATCGCTTGTTAAAAAGCTATGATACCTCTTATAACTTGATCCTCTCCCCACCTTCTGAACTCAGCTGATGGGTCTCATCTTTTCACTCAATTTAAAATTTGACTGTTGGAATTCATGGTCTTGCTGTGTTATTTGCTCCCTCTTTGATAGTTAGTCTGTTTCTGCTGTTCTCTTTCATTCCTGCAGGTATTGGAGATCTCCAGGGAGCATTATCTCCATAAGAATGAGAAAAATGACACTGCAGGACTGAACGGTTGTGTTAATGGGTCACTGAGTGACAGCTGAGCCTTCTCTCAGAGGTATCAGCCAGGATAGTGCTGCCAGGAACACAAGAGCTATACAGTAAAGTGTGCCAATTTAATCTTGTCACATGTAGCCTGGGCTGCAAAGATAGAGCTCTCCTTAAAAGTGCAGTGTGACATGGCTAAACCCAGCTCACACCAGAAGAGAACATGAAAAGATGCTAACTGGAAAATATTTGTAATACAGGCTTCCACCGAAGATGGCCGTTTTTTTGTTGTTGTTGTTGTTATTTGTTTTTTTGTTTTGCAACAGGCTCTGGTTAAGATAATAAAATGTGAAATCTCCAGGTTCCTTTTGGTCATTAGTTACCCTATGCATCCTAAATTCAGCTTAAAGATAGACAGTAGAAATCATATGAAGTTGAAGCATTTCAGTCAAACTGATTAATCCTGATAATGATTATTTTTACTTTTATTATTATGTTCCCACACTCATCCACACTTTTCAAGTAAAAAATGAATTTTCAGACGTCCCTGTAACAGATTAAAACTGCCCAAGGTTATCCCGACCTGTAGAGCTTCTCCTCTTATATGCCCCCAACTAAACAGGATTCAAGTTATACATAGACAATAGAGCCAATGATGGCATTCTTTTCTTCAAATGATTTATTTTTTGTCTTATTGCTTAATACCGTGTTAATTACCAAAGAGAACTAAGAAGTCATCTACATGCTTACCACTGAAATGTTGTTTACAATTAAAATCCCCATAAACTCTAAGTTTTTAATTAACACCAAATCTCACTTTTAATCTACTTGAAATTAAAGGAAAACAGATGAGCACTTTTATAAGGCCAATGGCAGACTTTGCACTAAATTAATATTCTTAAAAACTAATAAAAGAGGAGCCAGTGATTATAGTAGCAGTCATTCATGCCACTGTGAAAGAATTTCACTTTTTCTGTCTGGGGTTGATCCTGCAGGGACACTTCTGAATTCATCTTAAAAGTGTCACTCCCAGTGCATCAATAGCACATACAATATTTTGTTAATAAGAGATAAAGAAATGTGGGGAAAAAAGAAGTTGGCATGTTTGAAGGATATTTACATTTCTTTTTCATAAAATATTAAGTGAATAAAGCTGTTAAAGAGTGAATATGTTCCAGATAAATAATATCAGATCTTATCATATGATTAGTGGCAATGCATTTTTTCCTAGTGCCAAGATTTAGTAATTAAAAGTGATGAATAAGAACTTGGTGCAAAAAAGTAAGAACTATAAATAACTAAAAGAAGAATTTTTTCTGTTTGGTCTATTTCTGTTTGGTCTATCACTTTATCTCCCATGGAGAAAAGGGAAATATCAGTACCATACATTCTGCAAAATAATAACAATCAACCAAAATTTCTCTTATGTCACAATAAGCAAATCTATTCCTGAATATTTCAGCAGTTTGGGCAAACAATATTTTTTTCCTCTCTTACTCTCACCATATTTCTGAAGTATCATTAAATAGGAACTCAGGACAAATTATCACAAAGAGAAGACTTTACTGGAAATGAGAGGTAAAGAAGGAGTGCCTTTCACCCTACACAGATAATGATGAGGCGAGAAAAGGGAATATGTCATGAGTTCATTTTTAGGAGCAACAGAAGTAGTCTCCATCTTTCTCTTGCAGGATGACCAGAGTCATTTGAGTCTTGCGCATAGTACCCAATCCCCTATTCCTAGAGTTTGGGACCAGAGTCTCGCAGACATTATAAAAGAGATTATAATACAAACCTGTAAAAGAAAACTTTCCAAACATTTTTAAAGCTCCCTATAATGATAGCTATAATTGAATGTGGCCAAGTGAGATAGAAATAAAACTTCATGTATACAATCTGGTATCAAAATTTACCGTGGTCTAGTGGCTTGACCAGTAGAGGACTAGTACAAAAGTCAAGAGCTTTGAACTGGTTTCAGACCAGTATTTTGAGTTGTTTTGCATAACCATAATCCTCATTCAAAATAAAAATTATCAATTGAATAAATGTTCCTTATAATTAACAGCAAGTTCAAGAAACCCAAGTCAGAGTTAAATCTATTTGCATTTTGTACAAAAATGTTTACACTTCTTGGGAAAGTGTTTTGCTCAGCAGATTTTCATTCTCACATACTTAAAACCCCATGTCTCAATTTCTATTCTGTAAATCAACATACACTTATCACTAGTAACCTTGATTTTAGTAGCAATAAAATGTGATAGTAAAAATGAATTCTATATGTTCAATAGTGAAATAGGGTTTTTTGCCTCTGTGTAAAAATTTTGTAATACATTAGTTTTCTCCTAACTGTACCCTTGTATTATATTTTATTGACAAATACCCTTCCTTCTAATGACTTTGGGTAGAATATTAACTGTTTCTAATATCAGTATGCCCATGTGATAATATAATTAGCATGTCTATTTCCTTTGACTTTTCTTCTTTGAAGAGAACCTAAGAGTCATTGAAGGAGGTTTAAAGAGAGAAGAAAGAATATTGGCAAGATTTCAGGGCACTGCTGCCCCCTAGAAAGAAGCCGGGGCAGCACATTTAACCTCTCAGATGTGTCCTGAGAGGAAGAGACTTTGAGGAAAACTGCAAATCATGCGCTTCACTTTAGCAGCTTATGTTGGCCACCTCTTCAGTTTTCTTTGCCCTGTCCTATGTCAAAGTGTGGGTACAGTGATATATTACATCCTAAACTTATACCCTAATAAATTCCATCCTAACAAATTCATAGGAGAATCCCGTAAATATGTGCAGACTTACAAGCAAATTTTTCTTGGCAATATTAATTTTTGTAATAATAAAAGTAGAACTTTATTAAATTCATTAATTTCAGTTTTAAGACATCATTGTAAGTATCACCCAGATGTGGATAGACTTACTTACCTCTTTTTGCTGAAGAAACAAAGTTAACAAAGTTTGCTCATTTGACCCTCACAGAGTAGTTATTTCATTCCCAGTTCCCAAATGAGAACACTGAGGCCTAGGAAATAGGCAAAATTACAAAACAAGTTTAAAAAAGCAAATTGTTAAATGTTTATTCTTCACTTACTCATCCCAAATGCATGAAGTGCCTTTATTTTATATATCCCTTTCTGTACTAAGTAGTAGAAGTACAATGATAACATACATTTAAATTTCCCTCTGCTTAATCCAGTTCATATGGAGGTGTTGTGCTCTGAGCTCTCCCAGATTTTCTGGCACTGCCTAGAGAAAA